TGCACGTAGTCCATGATGCCCCTCGTCTAATGAATGGCAGTCCCGAACTTCACCTTCGTCTTTTTGCTAAGAACACAGTGCTCACAGAACTCAATCTTCCCACTCTTGGCTCCCTTCAATAGCCTCTGCTTGCATAATGCCTGCAGTGACTTTTCACCTATGTGGCCTGTAGGCTGTCTAAAATCACAATGGATAGCTGAGTCTCCATCGAACACTGATGATGGAAGTTACAATCTGACGACTTCCAGAAGGCTACAATTCGAAGATTTTCACATGTCAAAGAGTTAAAGCAAAGATTACAAAATGACAGTCTTTAGCAATACTCTGACAGAAAGGATTACAAATCGACGATCTCTTCAAACCAAGATGTGGAAGTCCTCCCCGCGTATCATCATCAAGACACTACACCGATTCAATCACCTACGCCGCTTCAACAGCTATAAACACGAATGCAGCTTCTTATGTGAGATGATTGATCTTGATGGCTGCGACAACAACATGACTAATATCATGTTAGCAACCATTAGAGGTGCTGAAACCAAGACGTGGAAGTCCTCCCCGCGTATCATCATCAAGACACTACACCGATTCAATCACCTACGCCGCTTCAACAGCTATAAACACGAATGCAGCTTCTTATGTGAGATGATTGATCTTGATGGTTGCGACAACAACATGACTAATATTATATTAGCAACCATTAGAGGTACTGATGAGCAGTGTAATGATATTCGACACACTCAGTGGAGATCATGACCTGCAGTTGATAGAGCGTTATTGAGATGCCTCAATTGTCACAAATGGCCTGAATAAGACCTTCTTTACTGGTCTTTGGTGTCATCCATATATAAAGACAGAGAAATCTAAATACTACAACAATCAACAGCTCGAACGCAGCTCCAATCGCTGCCAAGCACATCTCGAACGCAACTCTAATCGCTGCCAAGCACAGCTCGAACGCAGCTCCATCGCTGCCCAACGCAGCTTATCAATCGCTGCCCAACGCAGCTCCAATCGCTGCCAAGCACAGCTCGAACGCAGCTCCATCGCTGCCCAACGCAGCTTATCAATCGCTGCCCAACGCAGCTTATCAACTGCTGCCCAACGCAGCTTATCAACCACTGCCGACGCAACTCATCCATCACTGCCCAACGCAGCCCGTCAGTCGCTGCCAAACACAGCTCAATCACCGCCAGAACACAGGTCAAGGTTCTGACTCATTCAAACGTGATCGTAACAACTTCGAA